GAGGGGGGTGTTGTAGATGTTGTAGGCCTACAAGTATTTTGTTAAGTGTTTTACTGCGCTCGCAACTGCATTAAGTCATGTGAGCGGGCGGGGCACATTACTAAACATTTTCAGTTTTGTAGGACTTTTGAGTTTGTTTTTATCCTCAAAATTAAATGAAAAAACATGCACACTATGAAAAGTGCAAAGTCGTGTTTCTGATTTGTGTATAGGTGAGTGGTTGGCGGGTGCTCTGGTGTGGTTTGCTTCTATTTCCTATCAAACATCTATCGTCCTTATCTCCCCTCCTTCTTTTTTGAGTTAGTTACTTTCTTGTAACACCTCTAATCTTCGGCACTTATATGACCTTATTGTGTTGCTAGTTCCGTAAAACGCTTACTAAAAAAAAAACTTTGTTTACGGTGGTTCGAAATGTCTGTCACAACGTTGTCTTATGGTTGGTTGCTGATCGGACATTTTGTGTCAGATACGTCCGTTAAGAGGGTAAGGTATGAAACACTTGCCTTGTCTGTCTGTCTGTCTGTCTGTCTGTCTGTCTGTCTGTCTGTCTGTCTGTCTGTCTGTCTGTCTGTCTGTCTGTCTGTCTGTCTGTCTCTCTCTCTCTCTCTCTCTCTCTCTCTCTCTCTCTCTCTCTCTCTCTCTCTCTCTCTCTCTCTCTCTCTCTCTCTCAAGGCTCTCCTATTACTATGCGTCATCTACGTCCAGTAAAAGAGCAAAGGGTATGAAAAGTCTGTCTTAAACTTAAGGTGTGACGACTCTTTTAAGTAATATGAAGTAGCTGACGACGCAACATTTGAAGAGAAAAGTCGGTCAGAGAAAGCGAAGAGAGAGAGAGAGAGAGAGAGAGAGAGAGAGAGAGAGAGAGAGAGAGAGAGAGAGAGAGAGAGAGAGAGAGAGAAAGAACAAGGGCTTTGTCATGAAAGAATGAGTGGAAACACGACAAGAATGTCTGCATTCTTCCCTGTTGTCTTTTGTGAAGAGAAAAGTGCTAAAAACGCTGGCTGTCTGGTGAGTGGCGGTAGGGTGACGTGACCATCTCGCTCACAGAATTAGGGAAAAGAACAGATGGTGAAATCAGTCTCAACGGAGTGTTTAGTTTAGTTTTAGTAAGAGTTTTACGGTTTTTCGGCACTTGCAACACAAAGGTCATATAAGTGCCGAAGATTGGAGGTGTTACAAGAGAGTAACAAACACAAAAAAGATGGAGGGGATATAGAGACAATATATTTTTTTTATAGGAAAGAAGGAGAAAACTACACCAGAGCACCCGCCAACCACCCACAAGGGATGGTCTTACCCATAACTTTAAACGGTAATTACTATGTAAGCCTACAGGCGACAACGACGGAGATCTAATCAGCACGTGAAGATCTTGGCACAATCAGCACGTGAAGATCTTGGCACAATCAGCACGTGAAGATCTTGGCACAATCAGCACGTGAAGATATTGGCACAATCAGCACGTGAAGATCTTGGTACAATCAGCACGTGAAGATCTTGGTACAATCAGCACTTGAAGATCTGGGCACATTCAGCACGTGAAGATCTTGGCACAATCAGCACGTGAAGATCTTGGCACAATCAGCACGTGAAGATCTTGGCACAATCAGCACGTGAAGTGTGAAGATCTTGGCACAATCAGCACGTGAAGTGTGAAGATCTTGGCACAATCAGCACGTGAAGATCTTGGCACAATCAGCACGTGAAGATCTTGGCACAATCAGCATGTGAAGATCTGGGCACAATCAGCACGTGAAGATCTTGGCACAATCAGCACGTGAAGTGTGAAGATCTTGGCACAATCAGCACGTGAAGGTCTGGGCACAATCAGCACGTGAAGATCTGGGCACAAAGTCGTGCGTGAAAATCTCCTACCTTATTCCACAACCACAGAAATACTTTTGGGTGGTTGGAGGCCGCTTCTGGTAGGTCCTACTTCTTTACTTTCCCTCTGTTGTTTCTGGCTGTCTGTCTGTCTTACTTTTTCCCAGCACTAAATGACCATAATGGCGTCGATGTTTCTTCTCTTTATTCAAACAAACAAAACAAACAAGAACAAATAGAGCTACGAAATGTGTAAATGGCCCGCATCTGTGCACCCCTGCTCAGAGATGGCTATGAAAGGCCAAACATTTTTACTGAAACATGGAGTCTATAGCTACAGGTACTTAATAAAGTTGGACAACTTTTTTTTGCAATGCATAAATGCCTCAAACTGTCATGGGCTTCCTCGGTTCGAGTCTTTTTCGGCAGGTTAATTATTTTTATAGTTACGCAGATAGCTCAGTTCGTAACTACATGTATGATGTCACACTGGACAACGATAGGGATGGTATGTCATATCACCTCTTCTCTTCAAAGTAAAAAATCAAAGGCACGAGAAGTCAATTCAACTGAAAATGTTAAATTATGTGTCCCGCGTCCCGCGCGCTCATATGGCCTTATGCAGTTGCGAGCGCCGTAAAACACTTACCAAAAAAACCCCCAACCCCCCCCCCAATAAACAACAACAACAACAAACAACCAAACCCCCCCCCAAAAAAAAAACAAAAAAACAGGAAGTCAATTCACCAAAATGTGCAGAAAGCAATTTTTTTTTCAACATGAATGCAAACCATAAAACATGCACAAGAACGTCAGTACGACATGTTTGTACTCATTTAGACATCAAATTCACCTTCTGTTCTTGAATTCTGCGAGAATGAGTTTATGACGCAGTTACGAAGAAAAGAGAGATAAATAACCTTCTAAAAATACGCATCCTCTTTACACACTCCAAAATATCATTTTCAAAGATTGTCCGTTTTGTTGTGAGGTATTTGCATGA